CATAACCTTATGGACTGTCTACATTCCTTTAGTACTGAAACAAAAAACTTTAAAACTAATTCTCAGAAAAAATATAAATTCAACATTATTGATCAAAAACATGTTAATATAGCTTTTAACTTAACTATGGTTTAATTGTTGAGAAGAATGTCATGGAAAATTATTCATGAATAGTTTACAACTTGATAAGTGGTGTTGCCAAGTCTGTTGATTTAATGTTGACTTCAGATTTAAAGCTACCAAACTCTTTCAAATTCTCAATTGCTTTTCATCCTCAGCTTAGCTAACTACCACAAAGTTCTTATCAGCAATGGTAATATTAGATATTGTTAAAATATGTCATGCTACAATGTTTGACCTCTCAGGTTTTCCCGGGAATATTATCTTACATGTCTTGACAATCACATAGTGATAGAACCCACATATTCTTCCAAACAAATTTGTAGGTGATCAATATTTTATCTTACTATCACTGTAATATTAATTTTGACAACAAAGGTTCTTGAAACTAGTTCCTTTTATTGTCTTAAGTTACTCCACAGTTTTGCTGGAAGTCAACGCAACTGTAGTTATACTCGTTTTGGGGAACGTTTAATTTATGCCAAAATGACCTGAGGTGTTTAAACTTCTGGAGATAAGCTGTTAATATGAATTTGTTTAAGTGATGAATCTTTTCTCTTGGTTACACCTGCCTCTTATTGTGGATCATATATTGTAAAATAAAATAAACTAGAATAATTGCTTTTATCACTAATGTTAAAATATTTTAGATTGATTAATTCAAATATTCGATTACTTATTCAAAAATTTAAGTTTAACTACTTACTTTACAGTGATCAAAATTCAGTTTTGTTCCTGGTGAGAGTGTGAAAAAAGAGACCATGTACATTAGGACCTTTCTTCAGTTCAGTGGATAGGATAGTCTGTGGGATAAATAGGGAGAAAAGAATTAGATTATGCTATCCAGGAGTATGGGTGAAGAATATAAATGACAGAGCAAGAGATAAAATATAGGGAGCTAGCAGTGATACAATCTTTGTTGTGCACACATATAGGCTAATGATGTAGGGAAAGGCAGGTCAGAGGATAAATACAAGGGGTTGAAAAAGGCATTTAAAGAAAAGGTTTATAACTTAATTGTGTCAGTGGTACTGCTGAGAATTAATCGTGGGGATGAAATTATAAGTGGGTCACTAGGCTTAGTTTAATATGTAAGGATGAGCAGATTTGCTGGTTGGACTTGTGGGATCAGTTCAATGGAAGAAGAGAGCTTTTTGGAATGGGTGGTTTACATTTAAATAGGATAAGGGCTGGCTTGTTTGCAAAACCTATTAACTCGGCTGTAAGGGGAGTGTTAAACTAGGACTAGAGAGTGGTGAGGGCCAGGATAAACTAAATACAGAAACAATGTAGAGGAAAGTTTGGCATAGGAACAAATTATAATAATAGTTCTAAGTGTAGGCTTAATTGTTACTATTGTAATGCTAGAATTAGAAGAAATAAAATATATGACTAGTGTACTGGTAGGAATGGGGATTTTGATATCATGGGAATAACTGAAACATAGTTAAATGTAAACAATTTTGGTGACAGAATTTTTTTTGAAATACAGAGTTACAGGTTAATAGGGTTAGAGTATTAAAGAGGGGAAGAGGAGTGGCTTTATATATAAAATGTGAGTTACATTCTATTGAAGTTGAGGATATCAAAGATAATGGCAAGGAGATTGAATCCATTTGGGTTTCTATTAGCAGATATAAAGGGAAAAGGATTTTAATGGGAATTTGTTAAAAACTATCAGAAGATACGGATGAAATTAATGAGATTAAAATTTCAGATGTTAGTGTAGTATTAATTTTGGGTGATTTTAATTTCAGGCATATAGATTGAGAAAGGTAAGAGTCAAACCTTTAGGGGAACAAGTGTTTAGAAACTGCTTAGAATAGGGAACCTCATAGTGCAAATGATTATTGCTCTATTAGATTTGATGTTTTTTTATATATGGAGGTAAGGAATAATGAAATTTTTATCCAGATTTAAAAAAAAAGCAAATTTTGAAGGGATGTGATAAGAATTATCTGTTATGGATGTGGTGGAGGCAGTAAATTTAAAAGAAGACTTTATAAATATATGAATAATAAGGGCTGGCTGTGAGTTGTTTTTTTAATAGTTTTAATTCAGTTTAGTGAATGGGACAGCTTAGATTGACCAATAGGTCACTTGTTGTCCCTAAATATTGTGTTAACTTGCATTTCTAAACATAGAGATACCATACATATATAAAATATACAGGTTAGGAAGTGGTTGATTACATTTTTATTTCCCATCAAATATACAGGTTAGGAAGTGGTTGATTACATTTTTATTTCCCATAAAACATACGGGTTAGGAAGTGGTTGATTACATTTTTATTTCCCATAAAACATACAGGTTAGGAAGTGGTTGATTACATTTTTATTTCCCAATTTTATAGACACTTAAAATATTTGTCAAATTTTACAAACTGAGAAGAAGTATTTGGGAAATGAAAATGTAATCAACCACTTCCTAACCTGTATGTTTTATGGGAAATAAAAATGTAATCAACCACTTCCTAACCTGTATGTTTTATGGGAAATGAAAATGTAATCAACCACTTCCTAACCTGTATGTTTTATGGGAAATAAAAATGTAATCAACCACTTCCTAACCTGTTTTCAAATTAAATAAAGTAGCTTATGGTTTTTACTGTTTTACTTACAATAGTCAGAGATTTGAAAATATTATTAAATCTATTTTCAAAGTCTGCAATACATGATATTTTTTTGTTCATCCAGATCAGTCATTCATACATACATTTTACATGTAACATGGTATAGTAAACTTCAAATTGTTGTGTATAAGTTTTTAACACATACTTTAAAATGGTTAAAGTTTTACAACACAGATTTACCGTACCATTGTTCCTAAACAACACAATACATCTTTTAAAAATAAATGTGAATCATTAATTTTTTGAGTGATTACAAAAGTATTTTGTCTTATGCTTTGGATCTGTTTGTGTTTATTGGTACATTTTTTTAGACATGGAGAAAACCTATGAAGAGTACAAAGAATGGGTTGAAGGAGAAGTGGAACCTCAAGTCTACCAAGCTTACAAGAAAGCAAAGACAAAATTAGAGAAATTAGTTCCACTAGAAGAAGAATTGGTAAGTGAAATATTGGAATGAAATCTGTTATACTTGAAACCATAGGAGCTGATAAGTGCCTGATGAATGATTTAACAGACCCATGAAATCTGTTATACTTGAAACCATAGGAGCTGATAAGTGCCTGATGAATGATTTAACAAACCCATGAAATCTGTTATACTTGAAACCATAGGAGCTGATAAGTGCCTGATGAATGATTTAACAAACCCATGAAATCTGTTATACTTGAAACCATAGTGATAAGTGCCTGATGTGAAATTGGCATAAGTGATCAAAATATAAGTTATCACTTTAACCCTCTCACTCCATCTGTCCTTTACTGCACATGTCACAAGGTTTTAATTTTAATTAAACTACTTCTTATTTATGTTATACCAATTAGTATAGCATAAAATCATAGCTAATAATCGATATTTTAATAGCATATAAGTTTTAAGTTCTTAATTTTATAAGGCAATATTTTTAAAAATCCTGAGTTTCCCCTAGTATGAGAAATGTGACATATTTTCTCTAGGCATTCCCTCTTCTCTGTCTTATTTACCACCCCTCCAATAAGTACGAAATTTAACGTAAGTTACTCTCTATAAAATCATCATTGCTCAGACAAACCATAATTTTTATAGCTTTCAATCTTATAATTGCATGAATAATAGTTAGACATGGTTCAAAGGGCAATAAAATATAAGTTTAAATAGATGTATACTGTTAAAAGTTTAAAGCTAATTGGGTTAAATGAATTTAGTTTCATGTGACAATTTGAAGTCATTCTAGAAAGAAAAAAACAGTAACTTAGATTTGTTTAGATTGTTTTTTTTTGGTGTTTTCGAGAATGATCAAATTGACTGACCCTGTTTAGTGTTATGTAAAGAAAATTACAGGTAAAATATAGTTTTACTACAAACATTTGAAATGTATTTAGGAGGTTTTCAAGATTGCGCAAATAATGTTTGAGATTTTTGAGATGAAGAAAAGTATTTTTAATCTTAACATGAAAATCACTTTGCATGCGGACTACTAAAAAAGTACTATATTCACAGACAAATCTTTTTTTTTTAGTTTATTAAAAATACTCCACTAAAAAAAATGTGTATATGTGAAAATTTTTTACTGAAAGTCTGACAAATTTTGTGAAGATATACATACTATTATTAAAAGTTAATATTATCAAAACTGAGTGATTTACAATTAAACAGTAAAATTGAGTATAAATCACTTTGCATTTGGAGCAGTCAACCCTCTTACTCTATATATTACAAATTTAAAAAAAAAATACTTAATTCAAAATTCTCATTTTTTTGTCTACAAAAGATTTGTAGTGTATACTTAAATCTGCCAAATTTTGTGAAGCTACATTAGGTACTATCAGTGTTATGGTGCATATATATTCATGGTTACAAGGTCGTGTAAAATACATGAACCAGTTATGAAAGTGTTAATTTCAATATCTACTTTTATTTTTTGTATCAGTCTTCTTCTGTAAGCCTGCAAAATCTGGCAAGGAACTTTGATTTTAAGAGATTTTACTGCAATATTTCTACTTCTAGGAAATTGGAAACAAAATATATTTGAAATTGCTGTTGTCCTACAGAGAAATTTTGAAGGCTTATGGTGTCTGTCTTTATGGGTGATACAATTACTCCTTTATAACTGTAGAAAACTTTTCTTTCCAGGGTTAACTTAAAAAACTCACTAAGTATTTGGTATAATTCTTCCATATGTCTGGAACAAGACAGTTGTCAGCTAGTGTGCGTTCATAAATACACTGGATTCTTGCAGGGTTTCCTTCTTTAATTTCAAAATCAATGTATTTTAAATATTCAGAAAGGTGTGGTGATTCTGATGATAGCTGTAAATGAGTAAAAAATATCCTGTGAAAAATAAGAAACCTTAATTGAAATTCATTAGAAAAGTAATTAGAGAAAAATTATCGCAACTACTTTATATAAAGACAGACATGATACAATTACTCCTCCCATAAAGACAGACACCATAAGCCAAAGAATTATACCAAATACTTAGTGAGTTTTTTAAGTTAACCTTGGAAAGAAAAGTTTTCTACAGTTATAATATTCAGCAGAAACTTACAAAAAGAGATGGCTAAAGAAATCACTTTAAAAACTAATTTCATATTATATACTAGTCATGGATTTGTGTCAGAAATACAGATTTTTAGTTTCAAAGTTTCATCATTTTAATTTTATTTCAATGTTTAATCATGCATTATATACACATACATTCTTGCATGGGGCAAATCTTATGAAATAAGGGAAACAAAAGTATTTCTGAATAAAACAACTACATTAAAAATTGCCTCAGAAGGTTAGCACGGTAAGCTAGCTTACCTAATGTAAACAGTGAAACTATAGTTTTATTTTTATTCCAAGAACAGCACTGATATTGATAGTTTTCAAAAAAGTGTATAATTTTAGTCAAAAACATTTGAAGAGTGACTGTTTTGTACTATGTAACATACAGGAGACATGCTTTCTTTTAGTTCAAAAATTTCTGAAAAGATGGATATTTTGTACTGTAATTTATGGTGGACATCTTTAGAAAACATTGTTAGCTATTAAATGTTGGCATGGAGGCAGACAGTTATCTGGAAATATGTACACTTGAGAACAATACACTTGCTTGCTTTGAATTATCATAGAGAAGTATTAATTAGAAAAATTGCATTGGTTCTTTAGACCACTACTCTAACAATAAATGGTGGTCTATCCATATGTTTGCTGGTCTCAGACTAGAGTGCCAGTATTAATTTGACACACTGATCAATCATTGAGCCATGATTTTAGTCTGATTATTTTTTTCAAATCTGGTACAGAACTTACATACAAGCCTTTTCAGTGGAATATCTCACATTATGAAACTAATTTGTAAAATGTTTTATGAATTTTAAAATAGGTGTATGTAAGCAGTTTTCCTTGTTGAAATAATGCTGTCATTAGACCAAGATATTTGGCATGCAATTATGAAAAAAATTACCTGCCAGAAATACTGAGTAAGACCCAAAAGTTATGAGCCATATTTGTTGCCTTTTGATTTTTGGCATCAGACAAAAACGTATGAGCCAATGTGGTACCACAGTGAATCAGACAACACCTGATCATTGTATAATTCATATCAGCCCATTGTTACCACAGTGAATCAGACAACATCTGATCATTGTAAATCCATATCAGCCAGTCTGGCACCAGAGTTTATCAGACAAAAGCAAATAATTTTTTTTTCTTAATTGTAAATTTCTGTTTTGGACTTTTTTATTAGAATAGAATATTTAAGATAATGAAGTTATTTGAACAGTATCAAAGTTTATGAGATACCAGCGACGAATGTGAAATTAGAAAGCAAGTAGGTCCCAGGATTTCATCCCCCCCCCTTTTTTTTTGTTTGTAGGATACCCAATTGAAAATCCCTTCCATTTCTCTCTCTACACATGAACGGGCTATCCGAAACTGTCCATGGTCTGTTATTTTGTGGATTAACTATATTCAGGCCCTAGAACGGTACCAACAACCTTATGACAAGGTCAAAGGTCAGTAAAATATATATATTTAAGTTATCAGCTAATAAACTTTTATAAAACGGATAGCATAAATTCTATAAAATGCAACAACAACAAAAAAAGAAGAAATGTGCCTTAAGTAGCATCCAATTTTCCATAGATAATAAAATCATATGTTTATTTTTTTGATAGGTAATGTGGTAATTTTAAGGTTACACCTAAAACACACATACTTGATCTCCACAAAGTCTAGAGGAAAGTAAAGTCTGTAGTGTTTACATATTACACATAAAGAAGTTAATAACATAATGTAGTCATAACTAGAACTTTACTGTTTCAAAAACTGATGTATCTTAATAGTCAAGTGCTTATTGTAGGTGTCTGTATCTGCTGTGATACAGCAGATACTATCTTGGAATGTTTTACATTTATTGCTCACCCTGGAAACACATCACTCCCATTTCATCTTCAGATTTGTTTACTTAATGTGCTGGTGATCTTTTCTTTTTTTGTTGTTGATGTTTTACTTTAATTGTATGACAGAGTTAAATATTGCTGGTTGGTATAATTTTTTGATTGGTGTACAATATATAATATTTATTTAAGTGTTGGAAGTGCGGCCTCTTCAGTTGAATATTTTAATGAGGAATCGGTAGCTTAATGAACTAATGACTGAATGCTAACACTTCAACAAACTGTTTCAAAAGGGGAAAAAAATATAAAAAAAAAGACCCAATTCTCCAAATATTTTAACTAATATGATTCTTTATAAGTTATTCTAAGTCTTGCACTGTTTTTATTTGCGTAAAAATTAACTTGCTTACTCTAATGCTACAAACTGTAAACTTTCAACTTTATTAATGAAGGAAACATTTATGTTAATAAATGATGTATCATATAAAATGTTAATACAAAACATGCTATATAATAATAATGCTGTACTGTTTCTGTAATAACAGTGTGTTGTTCTGTATTGTCATTCAGATATTCTTGTCTAACAAAAACTGCTGGAGTGAATGTTTCGGTTGGAAGTGACATTTTAGGGTTACTTTTACTAAGCCAATAAATTTTAAAAAAAGACCCAAAACTTGAGCACTTTTGAATAGTTTTCTATTCTTCTTGAGGAGGATAAGTTAAAAGTTTAAAATTCATTGCACCTTTTGTGTGTGATCCAATGTTCTAACTCTTTAATCAGAATTTTGCTAAGCCAGATGGTCAAATGATTTAAAATCTTACAGTGATATAGCAGTTGTGTGTGGAAATCCAGTTTACTTTGAAAATTTTGCTAAGCCAGATGGTCAAATGATTTAAAATCTTACAGTGATATAGCAGTTGTGTGTGGAAATCCAGTTTACTTTGAAAATTTTCAAAAAGTCAATTGTATTTGTCCAAGTTACATGGTACTTTCCATTCACTTATCTCAATCATTTTATTAAATATTTTGTACGTGTCATCCTATTATATGTGTATTTCATGTTTTTTATTCTCCAGAGACAGTAGATCGAGTACTTTCCATTCACTTATCTCAATCATTTTATAAATATTTTGTACGTGTCATCCTATTATATGTGTATTTCATGTTTTTTATTCTCCAGAGACAGTAGATCGAGCCCTTCAAGCTGGTTTCACCCAAGAAGAGGAGTTCAGACAGCTGTGGCTCACATTTTTGGATTATTTACGGAGAAGAATAGATTGGAATGGTGGTAAGTGTATAAAGAATAAAAAAAATTTATATACTGTACTTCTAATTATCTATATCCTAGTTTGTTTTGAGGTGATGTGATATTCTTTGTATAAATATTGTTAGTTTTGGGATGTATACAAAAACTTATTTGGACAAATAAATGACAACAACATTGCCTGCTAGAAAGGAAAAGCACTGGAACATTGTTCAAAAGGTATGAAAACAAATGTATGGTTACAAATTAACTTGAGAGTAATAAGAAAAAAAGTAATTATTTAGTATACACATTTTCTTCATTATTCTTGAAAAGATAAGTTGGTTCTTTCTATTCTACAATCTTATTTTGTCCTTGTTTCATTTAGCCTGTATGTCCTTGGAATAATTTTGTAATTATTTTTTATTCTGTACTTTCAGAAAATACTAAAGAACTCTCAGAGTTAAGAGAGACTTTTGAAAGAGTTATTGACCACATGACTCAAAGTAAGGTCATTAGTTGTTATTATTAAATCATTATAATATGAATATCTACAAATATAATAAATTCACAAGTTCATGGATTTAAGAGTATAAGAACAAATTGATGAGTCTGTAAAATATCATACTGAAACATTAATTAGCAACCTAACTAGAGAAAGGTTTCCAATATAAGAACTTTGATATTCATGTACATTTAGTAAAGTCGCTGTGAGTTGTTTTTAGCCAATTCATTATTTCTATTCTTTTGAATAAATTGGAATTTGATTTTGTATTAGATGTTTTGTTGTTGACCGCTGTATATTATATAATACTAGTAGAAATGATGTCCTACAGGTAGCTCTTTGTTTTTGTAATTATTAATCATAGTATTCATACCTCATTGAGAAAAAGTGAACATTTTCCAAAAAAGGATTGTTCTGGGAATTACTGCACAGGAAAAGTGTTCGGATTGTGCTGATATAAACTGTAATGTTTTTATGTATTAAAAGTAGTACCCTTTATTGAAAAAATAAGTTTTTTTAAGAACTTCATTTTTTTAGTACTATATTTACAAATTACTTCAATAAAGATATAATCAAACCCTCATGTACAGTTCTAGTGAAAGTCATGTTCTTGTTGTAAGGAGAGTACTTTTATTTAAAATCATGTTTTGTGATAAAGAAATGGTTGTTGCAAATACCGTAGTTATTTTTCTAATCGTCTGAATCTTGAATACCCATAGTGTGAAGTTTTTTATGGATTTTTGTTTGCGGTTCTGTTCAACAGATGGTGCAACATTGTATTTATTATTTCGGGCACATACATAGATATATATATATATATGCACGCAACATCCATTATAGTAAGATTAGATAATATACAGTTCCAACAACAAACTATTAATATTATATAAATATGTA